AAGATTTCTGTAAAGTGCTTTTTTATCTCCTACACCTAATTACATTTTTGTAAACTAAATGCATTTTATAAGCTCTGTCTAATACATATTAGTAGATTTGCTGTGAGAAAGTACTACTGTAGGTGGAAAATCTAACAAATTAAAAATAAGATAAATATATTTAGTGGAAAGATTCTAGCTACAGAGAATGTGTAATATTTGGAAGTTGAATCTTGGGGGTGAGGGTATTGTATAAGAAGAAATTGATATTTCAGCAAAGAAAACTTTAATTTTTCAGGTGGAAAATCAACAAACTGGGAAGGAGGTATTCGTGTTCCAGGCCTTCTCCGTTGGCCTGGAGTGATACAGTCTGGTGCCTATATTGATGAGCCAACAAGTAACATGGATATTTTTCCTACTGTAGTCAAACTTGCAGAGGCACAGTTACCCTCTGACAGGTATGCTTTGTAGTCATCTCTGTTTTAGAGAAAATGTCACAAATGTTTTATACATTCTGATGATGTCTGTTAAGACAGAGGTGAGAATGTAAAGAAGAAGCTAAGCTGTAAAAACACTTCTTTGTCATTACTTACAATAGCATGTTGTCTCTTTTCATACTGACATACTGAAATATTTTACAGAAACATTTTGTGTAAATACAGCTTAACTTGCAGAACAAGCACCAAGCACCAAGAAAATAAGAGAATACCATCAGAGCATTATATTGTCAAATGAAACCTGGAATTATTTACTAAAAGCAAAATATACCAAAGAAGATTCTGTTCTGCATGAGTGAATGTGGTAGAAAAAGGAACTGCAAGTGTAAATTACTTTGAACTTAATGAACTCAACCTTGGCCTGCTTAATATAACAAAACATACCAAAATGACAGTTAGGCTTTTCTCACAGTTTTTTTTTTCTTTTGTTTGTTTTGTTTTGTTGTGTTTTTTTTTCTATAACAAGTTAGTTAAAATAATCCCTTTTGCAGCCTGATAAGAAAACCCCCTGGACTTATAAAATTCATCAGATGCTTTGCTGACACTGCTACATCCCCAGGCTTTGTCTTGTTTGGGAGACAGTCTCAGCAGCAAGGTGCTTCCACCTAAATGCTGTTGCCCTCCAAATCCACTAAGGGAGAAACATGCTGTTTAGATTGTTCTTAATGTGGTGGATCTTACAAACTTCATATTGCTTGAGAGGATTTGTTTTACTGATGTTTTCTTTGATATCTTTGATAGAAATCCCAATATACTTATGTAACTTCCACTTGTATCTTGCTCCACTCTGATTCTTCGTTGTAGACTAGATGCCATAAGTACTGTTTCTTGTTAGGTCATGGACTAGCTTGAAGTAATTCATATCAGGTCAAAAATGCTGATTGCGCTTTCTCCCCTGCCAGCTGACTCCAGCAATTCAAAGGCTTAATTTATGGAAACATTTAAAAGCCTTGATTATTTTATAACTCAATTTTGATGTAAATTCATTGACTCCTTCAAAGCATCATGAAAATTGTCCATCAGCATTTAGAGAATTTATATATGTGTATGTGTGTGTGTATATATGTAGTTGATAAACACATATTTAAATGTAGTTAATTTTCAAGCTTGAAGTGACTACTTCTGTCTTAAATTCTGGCATACATAATTTGCTGGACAGATCCTTATCATTACTTCTGGGGATGATAATATTCCACAACATGTACTCTGGCATACATAATTTGCTGGACAGATTCTTATCATTACTTCTGGGGATGAAAATATTCCACACCATTTCTCTAGTTTTAGAGTTACTTTGGCCAGACTACTCCCAAACACTTGAGTAGGCATACCTGAAGGACTGTGTTGTAGCAAAAAAAAAACCCCAAAAATCCCCAAACTGTTGAAGAAAGAACCAATCATACAAAAAAAAAACACCCAAAAAACCCCAAACCGTTGAAGAAAGAACCATTCATGATGGCAAAATGTAAAATTCGTGTCTCCTTAACTCATGTAAAAATCAAAGGGGAAGAGCATCTGAAGGATTTTCTCTGAATTGACCAGCTGGAGGTGAACTTTCAGATTTGCCATTCAGGTTTGGGTTTTTTTAAGTATGTGCAGATGTGCAGAGTTATAATATCTTCTCTGTAAAATGAGCTTTGGTTATTCCTCTGATTTTGACATGCTTTCTTACAGAATTATTGATGGACATGATCTGATGCCCTTACTTCAAGGAAAAGTTACTCGATCTAAGCATGAATTTCTCTTCCATTACTGCAATGCATATTTAAATGCAGTGCGCTGGCATCCAGGAAACAGTAAGTAAACTTGCATGTTCACATTTTAAGTATTTAACATACTTTTTATTGCAGCTTGAAAAGAATCAGGAGGAAGCCTTGGGCTATAGTAACAAAAATTAATTTAAAATATCTAGCCTTTTTCCTTCTTTTTCACTTTTCTCTTTGCTAGAATGTGCCTATTCACCATTTTACTGTTTGACATTAGTTTGTTGCTATGCATTAATGTCACCTATCAATGAAATACTGAGATCTATGGTGTCTAAAACCCTTTTTTTAAAAACTTTACTGAGAGAGAGTCTGTTACAGAATGAAATAGTCAAGGTTCACTCTTACAACTTCCTTAAAATGTACAGGTATTAGGATGACTTGACTTAATAACAGTACAAGTATGATGTCAGTCTGGCCTTTACTATTCAGATAGCAAAGTGTAGGAGAATCACTAGCTCAAAGTCATAATTATCCAATAAATGAATACAGTATTATAGGGTCCTTTTTCATGCTTTCTATGATCAATATAATTGTAGTTTGTAGGCCAAGGGAAAAAACATTTCTCATTGATTTTATCCTTTTTAACTGACACCATGCTGTTTCTGGTAGCACCTTCCACATTAACCAAAGTATATTTTCCTTTCTATAAAAATCTCTGTGCTGAATGAAGTCAAGCCCACATTTGTCCCATCTCAGTTTACACTCAAAGTGACAACTTGTGTTAAGCTTCAAAATGATGATCCAAGACAAGCTTTGGCATAGGATGTTTTGATTTATGTACTTGTTTAATAGTTAATGTGCAAACCTAAAGTGAGTTGGAAACAGTCTTTTTGGTCATCTGTAGGCTGACTCTCTCCCTGTCTTGGACTTTAAACTAGGAAACGGGAAAATAGTACATATAACATTTATTTACCACTACTTTGTCTATATGTCTTGTATTTGATAAATAATCATAAGGAAGAGCCAGTCAATCAGAAGATCTAGTACTGTTTCATATCTGTTATTGGATGAAATTAATCTGTGTCATGATGAGAGTAATAGGCAGAAGTTCAGGAAGGCAAAGAGGCTGTTTTTCTCAAGCATACATCTTTGCAAGATGATGCATTCCTTGCCTGAGGAAAGGGTTGGCTTTGGTATTCACTAGAGGGAAGTGTGATGGGAAATGAAGGGGAGCAACAATGGGGGACTAGTCTATTATATTTATTTGATGTGTAACAATGTAGATTGGATCCTCCTTTTCTCCAAGGTATTCAAAAGACAAAGCCCACTCAGAACCTGGTAATAACATTTTCATAAAACTAAGCTGACGTATGTATGGAATGTTGTTGTTTCACTCCAGACAACAACTAAGCCCCACACAGCCACTCACTCACTCTAACCTGGGAGAGAGAATCAGAAGGGCAGAAGTGGGAAGACTCATGTCTTGAGATAAAGACAGTTTAATAGGCAAAGCAAATGTTGCACATGTCAGCAAAGCAAAACAAGGAATTCATTTCCTATTTCCCATTGGCAGGCAGGTGTTCAGCCCTCTCCAGAAAATCTGAGCTCCATCATGCATAGTGGTGACTCGGGAAAACAAAGGCTGTCACTCTGAACATCCTCCCCTTCCTTCTTCTCCCAGTTTTTTATGCTGAGCACGATGCCATATAGTCTGGGATATGCCTTGAGTTAGTTTGGGTCAGCTGTCCCAACTGTGTCTGCTCTCAGCTCCTTATGTACCCCCACCCTGCTTGGTGGTGGAGTGGCATGAGAGGTAGAAAGGCCTTGGCTCTGTGCAAGTGCTGCATAGTAATTACTAAAACATCCATATGTTACCAACACCATTTTCAGTATAAATCCAGAACATAACCCCATACTAGCTGCTGTGAAGAAAATTCATGCTATTCTACACAAAACCAGAAAAAAAGTGGTTTTGGTATGCTACCTTGTCTGTCTACATTGCAGTGTGAGAACAGGCAATAGCTCTCTGTGCTGTCTTTTGTACCAGTCCTCTGTGAGAGTTTAACACCTTCTTCTTTCTTACTTGTCCAATCTCAGATCTTAAAAATGTCTTTTCCATGTAGACAATGCAATCATATTTGTAAAGCTATTTGTTGAAGTCAGCAAAAGGTTCACCCCTGTTTATCTCTCTACCATGTTGTGTGGAGATAAATATACTTGCATGGCAGCTGTAGGCACCTGATGCTATCATTTTGCTTTGGGTACTCATGTGGAAAAACAAGTATGGTTAGTTTGTGTTCTGATATGTCAGCAGCTCTATATGATGCAACTGATAATTTCAAAGTGCATTATATTATTCATTAGAGTATTATTGTCTTCTAGCCTCCCACCACAGCTCATTCTCTCC